TCATCCAGGCTCTGAATGTTTGCTGTGTTTGCATTGGCCCACGGGGTTGGTGTGCCGACAATGCTGTATTCTAATTGGTCTTCGGCCACTTCATGATGCGTCGGCCTCACGCTGCGAGTGCCCAGGGCGCAACCACCTGCGTCCTGGGCTCAACTGCCCGACGCAGCTTCTTCTTCTGGAAGAACCCAAGGTAAGGCCCAGGTTGCACTTCAACCAACTGGCGTGCTGCAACTGTCTGATACCCACATTGGAAAATGCTGAGATAAGGGCCTCTCGTGGATATTCAGGCCCACCTTCACTTAGGGCAGGCACGAGGCTTGCTGGCGGCCACAGTCCAGAACATATGCATGTTGTCTAGGGGCCGATGAGGACACATTCCTCACACATCTCCAAGACCTCCACAAACACCAAAATTGGCACATGCGGACCTTGACCAAAAATAAAACAGAGACAAAAAAAACAGAAAACAATTATCCCTAAACGCACTTTTCAGTGCTGGGGCTGCTAACCTAGGACTGAAAAGTGGGGTCCCTGTTGTGTGCTGAGAAGCCCCCCGTGCCTGACACTTACCCGTGGCTGTGCTTTTGTGAGGCCGCAGCAGGACTTAGAAGTAGGCGAGGCCCACTTAGGTTGGGAAACACGCAACTAGCGGATAGAGAGGCAGAAGAAGACAAAAAGTTAGTACCTTTAGAGGCCAAAGTGAATTTAGACTGTTGTAGGCTTAAAAAGGAGGATATCGGTCCAACTGGCCTCAGTCTAGAGCCTGCAGGAGGGGATATCAGACTGCAATGATGTTTCCCTCCACTGGTAGCTTGGGAGGCCGTGCCACCTGGGAAGTCACCGCCCGAAGAGGCAGTAGTCCGGTACATCTTGGGAGAGAGCAAAGAGCTCTTCCTAATTGTGTGGCGTGCAAATTTGGCAACATGCTGCTGGAGCGAAGCTCAATTTGGCAGCGGCGGGGAGGAAGAAGGCTGGCTTGGCTCTCCACCTTGGCTATGGTGGAGAGGACTGAGGACGAGACTGCGGGCGAGTAGGAGGAGGAGGAGGAAAGCGGTGAGCAAGACGGAGAGTGGCAGGGGTGCTTACCTGGCTATGGCGGTCTGCATCTTCATCTTCTTGTTTGGTGCTGCACCTGGAAGGCCCCAGTTGGCGTTGGCTTCTGCAAGGAAGGTTTTGGGGTAGTGATACGCATGGCGGCCATACTAGGAGGGACACATCAGCTTTGTCTTGTCCTCTGAACATTGAAGCTCTGCTCCGTTAGTCCCACATAGCCACCTAGGAGTTTGAGATGGCTATGGTGGACCTCTTGAGTGGCTGGCAGTAACCAAGGGATTCGGACATTGGCTCTGGTTCACTCTTTCATGTAAAGAGGTGGGGAAGTAAAAGGAGGTTGGAGATGGTGGCGAGATGAAGGGGGATTGAAATTGGTCTTGGCTGGTGTTCGTCTTCTTCTTCTTCTTCCATTCTTATTTCTTCTTCCTTTGTCTATTTCTCTTTCCAAGTTCTTCCATTTCAGTTGCAACTGACCGGCATTGTCTTTCTTTGGGTTGTTGGATTGGTTGCCAGTCAGCCCCTTTCATTTCAGGCCATTCTGACGCAGATCTTTCCAGAATGTATCTGACTGCACTTCTGGTCAGGCCTGGGGTGGTACACGAGTGAGAACAAGAAAACAAAAATTGCCGCATTTTGTTCCAGCTGCTGGCAGTAGGTCCAGTACAAGGGACGGTACCTGTGCCAACCAAAAAAAAAAACCTAGCAGTTCCTGGCCCCTCCAAGCTTGACAAAGCTTGGCGGGGCAGGCCATTTTCAGCCTCGGTATGAATGGCTGGGCGAAATACTGGTGGTTAAACACCATGAAGAGTGCATAGAACTCCTGCTGATAGGTGAATTTGCCAGCTTTTGAGATGGCATATGTACTTGATGGGTCTCAACTTCTTCCTCTCTAGTTGCTGTAGCGCTGCACCTATCCCATATTGACTGGCATCATTGGTAATGACAAATAGCTTATCGGGATGTGTAATTTTTAGGAAACGATAATGCATGAGAGAAGATTTTGATTTCCTGAAAGCCCACTCCCAAGTAGGACATTCCCTTTTTTCGTTTTTTTTTAATTTACAAAAAAAAAAAACAGCCCAAGCTGATGCTAGAGGTGCTGATAGGAGCAGACACCACTAACACACCTGGGGAGGCTCCATCTATTGGTGGGGAGCAGCACCTGCTGGAAAGTGGGTCCAGCGTCCCTGAACATTGTAGTTGTTTTTTTTTTAACAGATATATTACTGTGATGACAACAGGCTGCCGTGTCCACCTCGAAGAAAGAAATTTGAGAGATACGGCTACACCGCAGCCTAAGTTGATTTCCTACATGGCACATTCCTAGGACCATACCGAACGGGAGTACGTCGCTCACAAGAAAATATTTGTGCTCAATCTCGCCTACACCTTGGAAGAGGGACCAAACAACTTCCTTTCTGCAGTCTTCTACTTTGATTTTTGCCATATTATCTGTTAGAGTAGATACTACATGGTTACTAAGTCGCTGCACTTGGTCCTGTAAGCACAGCCACAACTTACAAAATTGCAGGTGGAACTGATGTCTGCTAGAGCCCTGCCTTACATTCCCCAATGTCAGCTTATACAACGGTAAGCTCTCCTTTTGGATCCTTTGCCATTGTTAACCAATGACTCATAAGATATTTTGTGACAATTCTACATCGACCTTTTCTAAGGATTCAGGCAGTCACATCGCCAGAATAGTGCATATCCTGTTTAGACGATGACTGAAGGGTAATTGTAAGGTCAGTTGCCAATGCCATCTCACACTGAGAGCTTAGGGGAGTACCTAGCACAGTCGGGACTACTTTGTCCTATCTCTACAGACTCTGCAGAAGGGGCTACGCCTTCTCTGGCCAGTGGCCAGTGGTTTCTCAGATTTTTCTCTGGCCAGTGGCCAGCGTTTCTTTACGTGGCTTGCCACCACATTTCATACACTTACCCGCATAATACCAGATTTCCCAAACCTTCTTGCGAAGCTCTTCCCATACCCATCCCGGTAACCTAGGGGTCTTGGCCTTTCCTTGACCTTGTGCTGCCCCTGCGAGATACCAGCTTCCTTAGCCTTCCCAGAGGGGGTGACCCCTCCCTCTAAAGTTATCCCCTCACTGCTTCTGACTGCTGCGTGCAGTCCGTGATTGAAACACTATTGACTTCTTCCTGGTTACCATCTTTGTCTGTCAAGAGGAGGTGTTCTTTTTTCCTCAGATCCTGGGGTAGTCTCTTCTTCACCCCAACTGTTCCTCTTTGTTCCACGATTGCATTCTTTAGCTTCGCCTCTATATCTAGAGCTTTTATGGTAAAAGAGGTAAAGTTGTTGTGCTGCGTAGTGGCGTCATTGCCCTGGCCTCTCAAACAGCTAGTTATAATTTTTTCTGGATCATACCAGACCCCTGACACCTTAATAAGCTTTTCTATCTTTTCGGTCACGGCCTGGGCGAGTCTCAAGCATCCTAAGCTCGTCTAGGGCTTTTTGTGCTTGTTTATAGTCATGGAGTCTTGTGTATAGTCGTGGAGTCAGTCGCTACAAGGACCATGAATTGACCTAGCGTGGAGCGCTGCCAACTTGTCAGGTCATGCCCGAACCCATCTTCTGCAATCTTACCATCTAACCAGCTAGTTGTCGTCCTTCAAGAAACGTGGATGCAACTATGACTTCCCTCTCAACAGCTGTGTCCTTCATCGTTACATACACTGGGACAGACCTCAACTGTGTATCCAAGTATTCATCTTGCTTATCGCCTATAAACACTGCCAGTTGAACCATTGATCTCTTGATGAAGGGTGGAGGTTGTGATGGTCCTAGTCTAGCCCATATACATCATCCACCATGTCATCACACCCTGTTCCACTCCACTCCTGCCGCCAACCGCTTGAAGAGACTGACCCGCTGGAGCTCTCCCTACTGACCACCAGGTAAGCATTCGCCAACCTTCTCCTACGACCTTCCTCGCTATCCCAAGAACCACCCCTGTTCGTCTGCCACCCTTAGCATACATGGCACCCAAACAGCTGTGGTGCATGTCTTCCTCCCAATGCCTACTGCTAGTGTGGTGGCGACTGCAAGGTCATCCCTGCCCTCCGAATGTCCCCCTGACTAACCCAGCCTCGACTTACATACGGTGGGTGGGTCTTCTTGGGCCAGTACGTACTGCCTACCAGAAGTTTCCAGAGTCAACTGACATGTTACAGGCCCAGGCAACGTGAATAGGGCCCCACCTGGGCCTACCAGGTCAATTTCTTATTGACCAAGGACCCAAGACCTGCTGGCCTTTGACTGCCTGCTGCCCGGCTTGGGGGCTCACAATACGTGTGAAAAAAGGTGAGCAGGAAGCACAGGTTGACTATGTTACAGACCTATTGGGTTCAAAGATGTCCACCCATATGGCAAATCCAAAAAAGTCAGGAAGGAACCCGAATAGATCTTCTCAGCCCAAAATGGGCACAGCTATGTCAAAAGCAAGACGGATCAACCCGAATCCCAGCTTACTGCAAAGAGCCACGTGTGGATTCATTGGGGGTATCAGAGAGTACAAAGGGCGGTCACTGGGGTTCATAGAGGTGTATTTTTCAGGCGTTCCTGCTTTTTTGGAGGTTATCCTCCATTTGTACGCAATTCTACACCGAACAGTTCTCTTTTCTCAGCTATTTTGTGCTTTGTTGACAAAAAATCAAAGACAGTATTTTGTGCACCCGAACATGTGGGTTGTCCAGCTGGATCTGTCCAGAGGTTCGATCTTGACAACAATTTGGACAATACAGAGAGGTTGCTGGACGTCCGGCCTTGTTCTGTTCGCTGAAAAAAATCAAAAAGCATGCTCCTATGCACCAGTTCCCCAGGTCAATCTATCCCGATTAAATATTCACAACAGCCCCGCTGTATCGAACATGGACTCGGTGAAATTGAATTCTCCGTGAAGATGGGGAGTACCAGCCGCTAGACAGTAAGACCCTGTGCACCTTTACTATAGCTTTGCATGGACAACCTTGATTGAATGTGTAGGATAGGTGGGAGGTGGTCGTCCGTGACTACCAAGCTTGAAGTACCACTCTGAGTTTGTAGATTGCCGCAGGCCCTTGGGGACCACCTGTACATCAAAAAAACTATCCCCGTTTCTAGACAGACCACACGGACATTGGGCCCAGTAAAAATGAATGTCTGAGTTTGCTCCGGTGACTGCGGCAGACCAAGAAACCAGTACCTCAAAGTGAACTGCAGCTGAACCCGGACAGAATGAATCTTCAGGGTTGTAAACTCAAGCAGCAGAGAGCAAACGGCCAAAAAAAAGAAGTGTGATACACGCTGGGGCCTGTTTACAAGGCATTAACTGAAACCAGGCACAGGTTGAACACCGCAGGCCCAAACAAAACGAATGGCCATATTTGTAAACCGTTTGGGGCCCAAGTGAGGTCAATCTCTGTTCCTTGTTTGCCCCCGTCTCTTTTTGAATATTCATAGGAGAAAGGGACAGTGACCATTGGATTAACCACAATTCACAATCTCCGCTCTCGATGCCAGGCATCCTCCTCCCCGCCACCACTTCTCTCTCTCACCCTTTCACATCCATCTCGCACTGCTTCCTGCTGGAATTTGTAACCTTCCTCCTGCTGCCTGCCACTCTGTCTTTCTCAAGATTTGGCTGTTATGCAATAGCACGATGACATTCACACAACTATGATACTATCCCTTCCATAAAATTATGGCATGACAACCAGAGGCAAACATGTACAGGAAGGTCTTGACTTCATGCGTAATGTGGAATGCAAAGTACTCGCCGATCACACAATGCCAAGGACCACCAAACTTCTTGTCCATTATATCTTTTATGTTCCTAGCCCCAAGCTCATAGTTAGTGCCATGCTTTTCAATGGCTGTGATCACCATCTCCACTGCTTCAAGCCGCACCTCTTCCACCATATCCGAATGCTTTACAAGAGGGTATTTTGCCATCTTCAGGAAGGCTTCCCTGTCCATTGTGGGCATGGCCATGACAGGCGATTGCATTTCTGAGGATGATGTTGCCATTGTAACCAATGACCAGATATCTTACACAGATTACGTGCACTGTCGTATATCAAATTTAGGTCACACATGCATCCTCCCTAACTTCGTTGTGCTTTCTTGGTTTCCTTACATCTCTCTCTCTCTCTCTCTCTCTCTCTCTCTCTCTCTCTCTCTCTCTCTCTCTCTCTCTCTCTCTCCNCTCTCTCTCTCTCTCTCCTCTCTCTCTCTCTCTCTCTCTCTCTCTCTCTCTCTCTCTCTCTCTCTCTCTCTCTCTCTCTCTCTCTCTCTCCAGCTCGAACACCCTCACACCCACCCACACATAGCTCTCTCTCTCTCTCCAGCTCGCACACCCTAACACCCACCCACGCATAGAGCTCTAAACGGAGTTCAACAGGTACTGACACTCTCAATGCCTTCCCTAAATGCCTTCAGTAAGCACTGCACAAAGGCCAGATGCCCAGATCAAATTTGCCCGCATCTCACAGGGGTACCAGTAGTCTCAAGGATGGCCGGTGTGCACACACAGCACCAGCTCTCCTTGCTTATCCGGTATAGTTCTCTTGTCGTAGATTATTGTTCTTAATTGCTTTGGCACGAGAATGCTCACGATAATGTGTCAAATTACGCATGCTGACCAGTTCGCTTTCAGCTGACTGTTAGGCAGTGTCACTGTGGTCATTCAGGAGATCTTCAGCTGCCCTTTCTGTGTCTGCAACTACCTGCAGGCCGAGGCTAGGTTGGAACCCCCTACGCTTCTTCACTGGACCTGGAACTGGAGTCATCAGACAACCATTGTAAAACATTCGGTCAGGTTCACCTCCTAGTTTCCAGTTTATGGCCAGCCAGAACTAAGGACTGAAAACGGCTCACACAGTAGTTGTCACTTCACAGCTTTCACGCAAGTCAATCACGATAGGATTTCAACCACCAGTCCTAGAGGCCTGCAACTGTTCATTTTTCTCGGGAACGAATCCCGCACCAAAATGAACACTGATCAGGCTAGGCAGAGGTGCGGAGGGGAACAGGCGGGTGGGCCTCGTGGGCCCAAAAAGGACTATCGAAATCGGAAGAAAAAAAAAGAAAACAAGAGAAACTGGGCTGGGTTACAGTATTCACCCCAGAACATCCAGAGGCACACTGCTCTGCTGGCAGGGCACGATCTAAACAGAAACAAAACAAGAGAGAAAAGAAAAAAAAATGATTTGGATGCAATAGTGGCCGGGTACATTCTGGAAAGTTTCTATGCGAGTATGCCCTCAGTGAGGGCATTCCCAGAGAACGGGCCACACAGAAAGAAAGAAAAGAAGAAGAAAAAGAGAGACATAGATTTGGCCGTGCATTCTGAAAAGTACTAGTGTGAGTATGCCCTCAGTGAGGGCGGTGCCAAGCACGTGGAAATCGCCCTGCCTCGCTGGCAGGGCACTAAGAAGAAAAAAAAAAACACAACAAAGATTTGGCCATAATAGCGGCCAGATACATTCTGAAAAGTACAAGGGCCTTTCAGCAAGGGCCTTTCCAGGCATCATTGCAAACAAAATAAAAACAACAAAGATTTGGCCGTAATTGCGGCCAGATACATTCTGGAAAGTACAGGTGTGAGTATGCCCTCAGCAAGGGCCTTTCCAGGCATCATTGCAAAAAAAAAAACACAACAAAGATTTGCCCGTAATAGTGGCCAGATTCAGTCCGGAAAGTACAAGTGTGAGTATGCCCTCAGCAAGGGCCTTTCCAGACATCACTGATCTCTACTTAGTTCTTCTTTTTTTGTTTTTTTAACTTTTTCCTTTGTCTTCTTCATGCCATCTGCTGCCACGAGGTGCAGCACTTCAGTTTTTTCGTTCTTTTTTTTTTTTCGCCACTTCAGTTCCAAGGGAGGCTGGTCCCAGTGCCTCCCTTAAAGAAAGCACCGACCTGCACTGTAGACTGCAGGCTCGGGAAGATGCAAATTTTGGTTCAACAATTTAGCTTCGTTTGGACTGGTGGTTTAAGCATCATACTAGCTCTCACTTCCTATCATCAATTAGCACATAATATTCGAAAGCAGACGCGAAGCGTCTGCTCTAGGGTTTGAGAAATACCCTTTTGATACTCTAGAAGAACGGAAGGACGTCCATGGTCCAGACCACATATGCAATGCTGCTCACAGGATCAGTCCCCATTTGCAGTAGCATCATGTGTCCTGTTACTCGAACACAAAACCTGCTCCACAAGCAGGACAGGTTTAGGTTTCGTTATCAGCAGACAAGGTTGCAACTCGGACTTGACCCACAGCATCCAATTGATGGCCTGGTTGCATATCTGCTAACCTTCACTGTGGCATTCTTCCTTCTGAAAAGGGGTCAGCATTTCATTCGACCCACATCACCAAAGTGACGGCCTCATTGCATAATCCACAGTATGCAATGGAGGGGATTTTCGCATTTTAACCGTCACTGGCCCAAAGCATCTTAATCACTCCCCACTTCCCGACTCCATCAATAATCAACAACAGCCATAATTAAACCACCAGTACTTGGCCCAGCTATTGATGCCGAGCCTAAATATGCCCTGCGCACCAAGCTTTGCCGAGCCTGGAAGGGGCGGGAACCGGTAGGGGGCATTTTGTGGTTGGCACAGGTACCACCCCTTGTGCTGGACCTGCAACCAGCAGCTGGTACGAAACGGGGTAGCTGTTTTCACTCGTACATTAGCCCACGCCGGCCAGAAGTGAGAAACGGCCAACTAACTTCTGCCAAAAAGAAAAAGAAAAAACTAAAAAAGGCAATAAGGGTGCTCACTGCTCTCAGCTCTGTCAGAGGCCCGCCTCTCACGGCGGGCAGAAGGAAGAGCTTTCCTGATGTGCTCCCCGTGAAGACAAAAAAACTGGCGGAAAAAAAAAAACAAAAAAAACTGGCGGTGTACCTCTTTCCACGTTCCAGCAGATGATTCAGTCTCCCCACATGTATCTTTCCATGTTGTACGGGAGGATTCAGTCTAAAAAGTAAACCAAAAGACAAAAAAGATGGAAATGTATCTTTCCATGTTCTAGGGGTCGATTCAGTCTTATTTTGCACAAGTCGGACCAAATCTTCTTCCAGAGACAAAGGAAAAAAAAGACTGAAAAGGGCAAAAAGGATTCAAAGTGCCCTCCGCGCCGCCTCCCACGGCGGGCAGAAGGAAGAGCTCTGTGGCAACTCTCCAAACATGAAGGCATGCGACCGAATCCTCCTATGGAACATGGAAAGATACATTTTCGGTTTTTTAGCAGTCCTGTAGTAGTGTAGAGAGACCCAACCGAGCTGGCCCTTCGTCTGCCCGCCTGCCCGCCGTGAGAGGCGGCGCTCTGAAAACACTCAAGGGCGTTATCTCACTCCTTTTGGCCGCCAAGTGGCGGGTACAACTTTGTTTTTTTTTTCCTTCTTTTTTTTTTCCTGCATTTGTCTCGTTTTCATTTGTTTTCTTTTTTTTTTTATGGCCTATACTGCGTCTGTGCATTGTTTCCACACGCACGGTATAAACCAAGGGGACAGACTACATTTCATTTGTGATTTTCCTTGGGCCCAATGACTTCTTCCTCCATAGCACTACCGGGCCTTCTCCGAAGCCCGGAAAACCCGTAGCGTTAACGCTAAGGGGCTGCGGCCGATGTATGGGCCAAGTACTGGTGGTTTAAGCACAACGCCAGTAACTTCTCCCACCAACCGGTCGATGTGATAAAGTCCCCATACCCCTACCCTATAGTAGGGTACCCTACTCCAGTGTGCTTGTTGTCAATGCCGGAACAGCACAATACTGCTCCCCCCAATGTCCAATCAAAGGATGTATGTCGTTGGGGGTCTCATGGCAAGACTCCCAGGTAAGACTACCAGCAACTGTGCGAGCTGCTGCAAGTTTATGTGCCGGCAGAAAAACCCTTTTGGTGTTCAAGCGTCTGATAAATTTCACTCATAGGAATTGCAAGATAAATGCTTTATGAAGAGATGATTTGCTGCACAGACAGGCAGGCAGGCAGGCAGCCAGCCAACCAACTAGCCACAGACGGACAGACTGACAAGAGATGGTTTGCTGCACAGACAGACAGACAGGCAGGCAGGCAGGCAGGCAGGCAGGCAGGCAGCCAGCCAGCCAGCCAGCCAGCCAGCCAGCCAGCCAGCCAGCCACAGACAGATGGACAGACACACAGACAGACCGACCTAATCTTCAGAGAGAGAGAGAGAAGGGAGGGAAGGGGGGGGAAAAGGGGGGGGCAACACGTGCTGAGAACCGGGCTCAGCGTCCCGTATCACCCTTCATCAATGATATATATATAATCATATATAATCATATATAATCAATATACAATAATATTTATATTGCAATTGAGTCTCGGTGAAACTCCGACGAAACAGTTTGTCACAGCCCCTCGTTTGTTGTCCTCTTCTCCCTCTCTGCCTACGGTTTACCGGGCAGTTCTATTTGACGATATATATTTTTTTAATCAACGGGTACAATTACCGCTTGGGGGAATGTGGCCGTTAGTCATCGCAGTACAAGTACCGATCTCTCCATACGACTTCTTTAAATAATAATAATAATAATAATAAATAAATAAAATANGGGGGGGGGGGTGTTGGAAGTCACGTCTAGAGATGGCTGAGTGAGGAACTAAGCAAGTGATCAACATAGATTGCAATTTGAGTTGCATATGCAGAGTGAGAGAGCGGTTGGAGAGAGAGAGAGAGAGATGGCTGAGTGACATTGGAAAATGCGACGAATCCAAGGGTTTTCAAATTGGATGCACCATTGCCTTTGCAATGGCAAGATCCAGATTGAACTTGCACAAGCCCAAAACCGCCTCCTCATCCTCACCCAGTCACTCACTCACTCACTCCATCACTCACTCACTCCATCACTCACTCACCCACTCTAGGTCGAGAACCAAACTAACACGAATCTGAAGTAGCTAACTACCTCCTTTTTCCCTTCTCAGCGGTTGTGGAATGGAGACGGACTGTCGATTGTCGTCTTCAGTTGGATCAGGCGAAGTGGAGAACGCAGACGAGGAAAGGAGAGGGGAGGATGGCAGGAGGATCAGGGAGGCCAAGACGAGTGACGAAAGCAAGAGGAAACGAGAGAGACTGAGAAGAGGGGAGGGGTGAGAGAGCATTGTAGGGCTCTCTGCTGATTCTTCGAGACGCAACAGTGCACATGCAAACTTCCTTTTCCATCTCTCCTTCCAGCAGCGAACAATAACCCTCGGTCGAAAGTCACGAAAGAAGCACAAGAAGATGAAGAAGACGGAAGAAGAACAAGAAGAACCAAGAAGAATAAACGAATGACTGCTAGTACATTGCAGATGATGATCTGTCATCAACTGTTGCATCTTGATCATCGACTTATCGTGAGTGCACTGGTGCGCAGCCCGTAGTTTGTATGTACATGAGTGATGAACAAGGTTTCCTCATCCAGGTTCAAAAGCAGGATGAAGAGAGAGGAAGAGAGAGAGGAAGAGAGAGAGGAAGAGAGAGAGAGAGAGAGAGCACTACCAGCAGGGACGAGCGTGTGTTGGCACGTGAGCAAGTGTGTGTGTGTGTGTGTGCGTGTGAGCGAGATAGAGCGAGCTGCCAGCAGGGACCAGCACACATTGGCGCGTGTGCATGACCACATTTAGAACACCTGTTGCAATTGCAAGAGCCGTTTCGACCTGGGCCCAGTGCGTCGTTTCAAACTTTCCCGACCGCGGGCAATTGCAAGAGCCGTTGCGACCTGGGTCCAGTGCGCCCCCCCAGCCCCTCCCCCCCCAACCAAAATGCC